CGTTACACACAAGGTAAGAGTAAACCATCTAATTCTCTTTCAACTAAAATGCAATTAAATCCTTACTCCCTTTCTCATGTCCCAAATAATACATTTCAAAACATTTCAGTTTCTGTTGCATTTCATGTTTTACAACCTTATTTCAGTGAAAGAGACCAATTTGAGCTGAGGATCGAAAAGGAGTTGCGACAACAAGGGAAGTGAATGAGTGAGCAATAAAGTGCTTTTTCAAAAATATTTTTTGTGTTTTATTTGCCTACAGTGCTTTAGAAATAGACATGGATCATTTAGGGAATATAGGTATACATTTTGGTGGGGATACAGAATCTGGTTTTATTTTATATTTATTATAATGCATAAAAAGCCAGGTGTTGTGTAATTTTTGTATTATATTAAAACCTTATGAATTATTGACTCTACTCGTCAAAATACAAATAAGTCAAAGTAATTATTGTATTATATTAAATGGACATGGATCATTTAGGGAATATAGGTAAACGTTTTGGCGGGGATACAGAAGCCAGGTGTTTTGTAATTCTATTCAATTAAAATTCTATTCAAAGTAATTCTATCTCAAACCTACCATCCCAAACAAAGTAATTCTATCTCAAACCTACCATCTCAAACTTACCACAGCCACTTAGGGACTTTATTTTGAAAATCCATTGACCTAAACTTACCACAGCCACTTCCGGCGTATGTCTACCATAGCCTAAATCTACCTCCTCCGAGTCTGCAGCTGGATATTATTGTTTTAAAGGCACATCTGCCGCACATACTCATGTGCCCAAGACACAGGTGTCAGACTGTGGTCCTCCTGCATGTTTGAGATGTTTCCCACCTCCAACACACCTGATTTTGGCTTTTATTAATTTGACAATGAGAGGCTGCCCGAGCCGCCACCATCTTCAGGTGATGAGAGAACTCATAGATGGAAGCAAGCATTATCATGTCAAATCCAAAACCAAACGAGAGTTGCAGTGGTTGAAGCACAAATGTGTATTTGCTAACAACATTATAAGTGTTCACTTTTCATAAATGGCACAGTTTAGTTAAGTAATCAACCTGGTGGCGGCAGGGCTATTTGTGCCAGAAAAAGTATCCATTGCAGGCACCACTTGTTCAGATCTGCGCACAAATTAATGAACTAGTGTCTCTTGATGGTTTCGTGATAAAGTGCTGACTCCACGAGTGAAAGTATGATTGATATGCTGTCTTTATGGGAACTCTCATGTGCTATAAAGTTTGTGCTCATTTTGTTGGACTCCAGCCTCAGCAGGTGGGCACCCCTACAGTAGCTCGGCACCTAGTCATCATGGTAACAAAAGCCATTCTCGCATTGGTACACCAAGCAGTGGAGAGGCTGCAGGGGGATCATTTGCATGAGACAGGACTGCCCCCTCACATCAGACTAATTTCAGCAAGGCTCAAAAAAGAGGGTGAAAAGTGTGATGCACTGTGAGGGGGGAAAGAGTTTCTATGAACAAAAAATTGGCAAGGCTCACTTTTTTTTTTTTTAGAACATACAGGTACATCAGATAATATCGTCACATTGTAGGACACATCATATCCAAAACTAGGCGACACAGTTTCCAGTGCAAAACAACAACCAACAAACTCTTTGACAAAATACCTTAATGCGTTGTTCAAATAGGAGACACACATTGCATTCTGCAGTTTTCATGAAAAAGGATCTACAAGCATTTCGCTACAGTCATTTGTGTTACTGTTGTCACACAGAGGTTAAGACATGCAAAATTTACATTCATGTATCAATATATAATAATTTGATGTACGATAGAAAGAGGGAACTTTTATGTCCTGCCAGAAAAAAAGGAATACAATCTGATGCAGTGAGAGCACACACTAAAACTACTTGTTTATTTGAGCGTGTGTAAATGTTTAACCGATTTATTCGTTTAAATACAAACTTAGAGGTGGCTGTTACAGCCGAGTATGTCAACTATCAAAGTGTAGATTGGGATTTTACAAGTAGAAGTCATTCCATCTGAAGACCAAGAAACAAAATATCCTGAACAAAGTGTTCCTCATGAAAATTAAGGCTACATTGGCCCAAGCATGTTATCATTTAATACTCACGGTTCCATCTTGCTAAATTATAAAACAACCTTCACAATCCCCGAAATAATGGGTTCATTCACAAAAATAATCTAGCCATGTCTCGATTGATTTGATCTTGGGAAACCAAGAATTGAACGTATTTTCATCCAAGAAATAACATGGTATCAGACTTGCAAGTTCATCTGTTTTTAGACGCAGTTAAAAGTTAATTCCAACAATGGAACATCTTCGATGCACAATTAATCTTTTTTTTTTCATTTTTAAACACTATGACAGATTTAGGCAACTCGTTTCCCAAGTGTTTTAGCAACGTCCTTATAGGCTAGCTCAATTTCCACATCGGCTGCACACGTGTTGGTGAATTCATCTCTCCTGTAAGCGTTGTCGAGGTAACGCCACACGCCTCTATACTGGGAGGGGATGTCATAATTGCGGTATTTCTTCGCCACGACCTGTAAATTAGTTGAAGTACTACGGTCAGCCGTCAACGCGGCAACCAAAGAAGGTGCATCACTACAAAATACCTTGACAACATGAAGTTTGGGAAGGAGGTTGCAGTCAGCTAGCGTCAGCTCATCACCATCCAGGTATTTGCGTGTAGATTCTCCATCGACGAGGTGACTCTCGTTGGGTAGCGGGCTCAACAGGTACTCGTCCAGTTTTACCAGAGCCTTGTTGAGACTCTGCTCTAATGCTGAAAATAATCACACGGTACAAGGTCAAAAGATAACAGAAGCGGAGGGATAACAAGATGGAAGGACCTCACTGCTTCGATTTACCCTTATTCTTGTTTGGACTTGCGTTTTTAATGTAAGCTGAGAACTTGGCAAACACATCGTTTCCCGCTGTGTTGGACTGACGGTTCTTCACTGCAAGTTTTGGATACCTAAAGAAGAGGATGGTATTACTTGAGCCATTTTTCACCCAGGAGTCCAGCTTCATTTTGAGTGTGTGCGTGTGCGTGTGTGTGTGTATGTGTGTGAGCGCGCACACGCGCAAGACCTACTTGGGTGGGGCCAGCATTTCCTCCAAATACTCCTCTATTTTATTGACATCAGTCAGCACCTCATCCTGGAATGTAAGAAAGGGTGGGTGTGTCCCTGGGGCCAGGTTGTGAAGGTCAGCTGGTTTCCTAATGAGAAAGGAGGCATTTCCTTTCCGCTGTGTTCTTAATCATGAGGTTTATGTTGTTTTCATTTTTGTAATTACATGAGGCTCTCCTGGATTTTGGGGTCCAAACTACCAATGACCACAATGATATATTATTGTGTAAAATATTCAACATATGCATGTTTTTTTTTAATTTCAAATATGCATGAAAATAAAATTCAGTATAATACAGTAACCTATGGGAAAAAAAACAAAAAAATGCACACCATCAAAAAAAATAAAGAGGAAAAAAAGAGTTGAGCGAAACAGAATTACAAATAACCAATAGGTTTTGTAGGAGGTAGTAGTGTCAACATCCTACATCCCAGTGTATTTATTTCATTTGTAGTATATCACTCTTTACTGAGAATTTCTTTCAATACTACCCATCAATTTTCCGATTCGCTTTATCCTCACAAGGGTTGCGGGGGTGCTGGAGCCTATCCCAGCCGTCTTTGGGCAGTACGCGGGGGACACCTTGAACTGGTTGCCCGCCAATCGCAGGGCACACAGAGACGAACAACCATCCGCACCCACACTCACACCTAGGGACAATTTCTGAGCGTTCAATCAGCCTGCCATGCATGTTCTTGGAATGTGGGAGGAAACCGAAGTACCCGGGGAAAACCCACGCAGGCACGAGGAAAACATGCAAACTCCACACAGGAAGACCGCAGCCGGACCCTGTCATTCAACTAAACATATGAATAATAAATATAATACTAAAGCTCTCTGGGATATATTAGTAATGTGGTTCGTAAAGGCTCTGGAAAGGCCAATTATTTGCCTGATTTTATCGAAAATGATCTAAATATTACTAATATGAATGATGTTGATAAATTCAATAGTGTATTTTGCTTGGCACAGTTAAAACTTGCCGCTTGCTGCCATTGTGGGTGTAAACTCAAAGCCGCTCCTCTCATTGCCTCTATCATTGGCGCACAAGAGGCACTGTCCTTGACATGGCAGAACCAGAAGCTGATTTGCTTTGAGTTCATTCAGATATCAAAGCACGCAAGTACATTTAAAAAGGAACTGCAAGCCAACTTCCAGGGGCAGATCATGTCTTTTGTTTTTTGTTTATTCGTTAGGCTCCCCATTAGCTGTGCACATAGGTATTGTTTGTCTTCTTGGGGTGCTCTCAAAAAAACAGTATGTAAAAAATTTTTTTAAAAAAGTAATTTTTTTTAAGGGGATCACAGATTTATGAAGGGGGCACCTTGTAACCCGTTCGTTTCCATGTGTACCTGTGCCCTGATCAAATACACCAAAATTGTACAACACTACCTGCGCTGATAGTTAGAAGTGGTTCCGGTATGCATAAAGTTTAGTCAACTTTCGGGTGCGCCTTGGCTGCATGTCAAAGGACGCACTCACCCTTAGTCTGCTAAAATGCCCACCATGGCCCAAAGCCATCTGCCAAATTGCCAAATAGGCAAAACGAGGCTTGCACTGGCACTTGACCACAGCGGCACCATTTACAAATATGCAATATAGAGCCCTTAGATTGTATTTATTCTGTGATACAGATTGATAGAGTGCCATCATGACGACTACCTTTTGAGGTCAACTGTGGTGACATTGAAGACCACACCTTTCAGCCAGAGGACCATGAAAAGTCGTTGTGAGAATGGACAATTTCCAATGCTTTCTCCATCACTCCCAGCCTGTGCACAAACACACACACAACTGGGATTTTACAGTAGGTGAAAAACAAAATTCAGGGAGTGTCTTTTTTTTTCTCCGATACACACTGATGTAGCACAGGCAACTCATCCGGGATTAAAAAAAAAAAAAAATCAGTGCCATTTTAAGTACTAGGGAAATTGGTTACTGTGTATGAGTGTGTGTGTGTGTGTGTGTGTGTGTGTGTGTGTGTGTGTGTGTGTGTGTGTGTGTGTGTGTGTGTGTGTGTGTGTGCGCGCACGCATACACGCGCATGCTTGCGCATGCAACAGGACACGTAATACGAGCCTAAACCCAACATGAATAATCCACATTGCTTCCATTAGTTGCCTGAGTGCTCAACAAGAGCTTCCACTTTTTTTCTGTGGTTTTCTATTAATGAGGATTTGCTTTTTTTTTTGGCCTTAACCTGACAACATTCATTCCTTCTTTGATTTTCACTCAAAGTATTAACTACAGTGTATTGGATAGAATGCACAGAATTTTATCTACAAACAGAATGACATATAACTCTTGTCGGTAGTGATGAAACTTGCACATAAAAGTCAATGGGGGGAAAAAAAAATCATCGCATCATTATCTTCTGTATGACACAGACACAGACAAAATGAGTTACGGTTTTAGCTCATTCAAAGAATGTCCCGTCAGTGGCAGAATCCGCTCTTATTCTGAATCAAGAAACATTCATAGGTGTCATGTGCACCTTGCAAAACCCAACAACCACACCGCGAGGTACACAGTCCAATGAGATCCAGATCAAGAGCTGTTACAGATGGTCTGGCTACTATTTAATGGCCCTGCACTATACTCAATTTAATATTTTGCCCCCTTGCGTCGCTTAATACAATGTCAAAACTGAACATTATATATGTAAAGGTGGAATTATTTATGCCGTTTTCCTGTATTTGATTTCCTCAGTTTGTGCAGGTGTACGCCATTTGTTGCCAGAAGAAAAGATCCTTGAAAGAAACGTGGTGCAAGGTGACATGGGTCTGATGCTGTCTAATCATTTTTCAGTTGCAGTAAAGAGCTAAGCATCATTATTCGTTTGTCGGAAGGCAGAAAACGAACACTTGCTAAACCTTGATAAGTCAAACCCAAGGCCATTTAAAGCTGCAGCGCTCTACAAGGAAAGGGCTCCGCTGATAATTCAGTGAGAGGGCTAGAGAGTGACTATCCATGCATGTGGGTGTCAGTTTCACACAGGGGGGAAATCAACACAACAAAAACATGTACAGAGCCTACATTATCTTTGTATTTGCAATGCTGCACACACACTTATCAACACCCCACCTTGACGAACAGTTCGATGTCTGGGTCCTTATCTTCCTCCGCTGCAATATCTGTCATAGTCAGACACACACACAAAAATGCTGCTTGTGCGTCTCCGCTCCACAAGTGTGTATTTGTGTTTGCGAGTTCTACTCCACGTCCTCCTGGGCGCTGTTGTAGCTCTGTCACAGTCAGCTGATGACTGGCAGTGATGTGTGTGTGTGTGTGTGTGTGTGTGTGTGTGTGTGTGTGTGTGTGTGCGTGTGCGCGTGCGTGTGCGTGTGTGTGTGTGTGTGTGTGAGAGCGTGCGTGTGTGAGAGCTCGAGAGAGGTGGTCAGTTTGTACCCATAGGCTCAGCAGCGGGGCATGACGTATCGGTCAAAAATAGCCCCCGGGGTTGGTTCAGTGTGGGCATCAAGCACCAAAAGACGAGCAGTTGACTCTCAAACATAGTGAAATAACTCCTCATCAGACTCACCTACGGTTCAGCCACACAACAGGCATCATTTTGGTACATCGTGCTTTGACCTTAGCACATTGTCTTTTACAACATGTCGTGCAACAACAACAACAGTCACCTTCACTCTTGTGCAATGTAACCTCCCATTATATTACTTTAATTTACAACACTGGAGTGTTCAAAGTGTGGGATTTATAAGGCCAGTATACTGCGGTGTGTTTGGACTTTAGTGTGAGCCTAGTGAGCAGTTAGCCTTGTTAGTGAGTGATCACATGGCTCTCAAGTCTGCTGGACAGGAACCTGCCTATCCTGAGACAGAACATTCTCACCAGTTCAAGTTATATTTGGACTCATAGCAACTCCCTACGATGAGAAACACATGCACTGCCAGTCATTGTGAAGATGTCTAACTGGTACAAGATTAACTACAAAACAATGATTTGACGTTTAAGGCTCCATTTACACAATTTCGTGAGATCCAATAGAAGTCCTGCATTAAACATTTTGCCGATACAAAAAATAATTCAGCTCATTTTTTTTTATCGTTGCTGTCAGAGGGTTGTTCATGTGTACATGTTTTAATATGTTTATTAGTAGTTTGCTGTGGTGTAGAACTACACTTCATGACGTTAAATTATTGCTGTCATTAATATTCATTCAATTTCTTAAGCATAACAGAATTGAAATATTACAAAAGGTTCTCAAAACGCTTCACTGTAATTGTAAACAACTGCTACAACAACTAACCGTGCGTGAGAGATACATTCATCATAATAAGCATAATCTTTTGTGCTGACAGTGGTCTTGATGGTTGGTACCACTTATTTAGGATTCATGAAACATTATACGTAACTTATTGGTCAATCAATCTTTTCCAACTTTATCAACTTCAATAAATCATCTGAGAATGTCCTCTTGCATGCCAACCAGCCCGCATAAAATGTTGGGGTAAAGAGGAAGGAATGGGATGTGCCCCCTTTGTTTGAAATGGTAGTGGTTTGACCATAAATAAGGGCCCTATGTTTTGTGCCTAGCACAAGTCTAGCACAAAGCGCAATCTAACAGTGTCCATGGGTGGAGTTTTCTTGCTTTTGGTATTTTCAGAGACTTGCACAGTTACAACCGGGTGTTTCTGCCATTGTGGGATTATTCACTTATTTATAAACCCTTTGTAAGTGTACCCTAATTGTAAAGTGGTTCAAAAATGTAGTGTTATTAGATGCCCTAATTTGAGCAGTAAATTCATACAGTATGAAATGCATTGCACACTGTTTTTCAAACTTTGGATACATTAACATCCCTTCATCCATTTTCTGTAGCGTATCGCACAAAAGCATGCACACAAAACAATCAGTCCTTGAGTGAGAATCAGTTCCGTGCCGGCAGCCACCACTACACTACCAGTGTCCGAAACAAGTAACAAAAATCGTCCTCATACCTACCTTAGCAAACAGGGTGACTTTAGTTTTGTCCTTCTCAGGCTCTGAGTTCAAGTTGGGTCCCTCTCGCTCAGATCCAGATGAAGATGATGATGATGATGATGAGGCTTTGCGTACCAAGTTCCCACAGTCCACCTCCATCTTTGGAGATGCACTCCCCCCGTGTGACTGTTGGCTACTCTCTACAGCTTCCGTCTTTGCCTCACTACAGCAGGTGTTGTCCTTCTTCTCTTCGTTGTCAGCATCTGAAGATGAACATGATGAAGAGGAAAAATTTTCGCAGCATTCCTTGCTAGGAAGAGGGGGTGCTGGAAACAAAGGGGGGTTCGGGATTCTTCCAAAGGCCCATCCAGTGTTTTGGTACTCTGCTGTTTGGCTTGAGGGTTCATCGGAAGGCATCTCATATATATCTGATGTCTGGTTCTGGTAGATGATCTCTGGGTTCTCATACACATGTTCCTCAGAAGGATCCATGCTGAAGGACGTGGACGCAAAACAGGTTGCCCTGAGTCTGTCAACGTGTGCACTCAAGTGAGAGTGTGATGCCAACAATATACCAAGAGTATCACGTATCATCCTGGACTTTGGACTCAAACGTAGACAGGTAGTGCCAACTGAGAAAAACAGTTATCCTTAAAGGAGAAAGCAGTTTTACAATACAGTACATCCTGATTTATATAGTGCTTTCACAACAGCTGCAGCTGTAACAAAGCGCTTAACAAAACAGTTAACAAAATCATATAATATTTAGAAATTGTATGGACCTAAATCGACAAAACTGATGATCTGTTTTGGGGGGGACATTCACATCAACTACATAGGAACAAACTATGAAATACTCATCTCCAAACACCACAATGGATTTTTACATTGAAGCCGGCTTCCCATTAAGTTTAGAATTATAAGTGCAATACCCAAATTCAGCAAGAAAGCTCCCAAACATTTCCATCTTATTTGATGAAGGATCATTTGTACTGATGTGCAAATTAAGTTTTTGTGACGCACTGAACCACTTCAGCCAGTTGTTTTGGAACTAGAGTTCATTATTTGACACATCAGTTATAGTGACCTCTCCTGACGAAAACCAAGACTGCAGTGCTTTAAAACAAACGCACACACACACACATACACACACACACACACACACACGCACACGAAACACACGCACACACACACACGAAACACACACGCACACGAAACACACGCACACGCACACGAAACACACACACGAAACACACACACGAAACACACACACGAAACACACACACGAAACACACACGAAACACACACACGAAACACACACGCACACGAAACTTTCGCACACACACACGCGCACACACACACACGCACACACACACACACACACACACGCGCGCACAACACGCGCACACACGCACGCGCGTGCACACAAATAATATAGTAATTTATTCTGAAAGGTTTTACCGGAAGTAAGTGCAGTGAATCTTTGGTCCTTTCTTATCATTTCAGGAAACGCCACCGTCCAAACTGAACGTTACAAGGCAAACATCAAGAGCAAACATTGAGCGCTTTTTTTTTTGCGGTGGACCGAGTTTTAATTCTGCAAGGTAAATATGCGAAGCCCCCACGTAAGGTGTCATCGCTAATAACCGGTACCGAGGTTGTTTGAATGGCAAGTTCCAACTAAAGGCTGTCTTGCATGGTCTTTTCTTGGGCTGAATAGAATATGATCTGCACCTCTCAGCTATTTGATCGCGCCTTTAAATATGCACGCGTATGCGTTAAATTGTAATGTTTGTAAGTGATGTTTCAACAAATGGAGTGAATGATTAACGGGAAGAATAATATCAGATGTAGTCGAAAGTGATCATTTCAGTAACATCTTCGTGACTGGGGCAGTCGCTTCTCGCAAGGTTGTCTAAACTTTTTCCTCCTAGGGCTGCAAACACAAAAATAGAAGGAAACAAGTCCCATTTTGATATTGTCTTACTTTAATTGATCAAACACGGTGAAACCAATCGATCAAACAAGAAATTATACATTGTTTCAGTAGTAAATTTTTTTAACTATAGTTGCTAAGGCAAGGTCTTCTGATAAAGGTGAAAAGACAAATGGCAGAGGATTTTTTTTGTTTGTTTTTAGGTTTTGGGGTGGCCTGTGGCCCTGTATCCCACTTGAATAGGTCGGCCCCTTGACTGAGCAGCAACTGAGAGCCATCTCCACATTTAAAACTAAGACAAGAGCAATCTTCAGTTAGCTGACCATACTCATAGGATCATATTCATGTGATATGTTCACAAATCAGACTTGGGCACAAAGCAGAAAGTGGAGAAAACAATTTTTGGTTCTGACTCTAATTCATCTTTTTTCCACAGTGTTCTAAAGAGAACCCCCGTTTTTATTTTAGCTGTAAATTAATTTTCATCTTTGCATATCTTTAGTAGAAGTGGTGGTCCCCATCACTCTCATCCCACCCCTTTTTCGACAGCTTCAAATGCTGCATCAATCTTTACCAAAATTCATGTGCACATTTGTCGGTATTCCCACATCAATCTGTGAAAATATGATAACAATATTTAAGATTAATATCTTCCTCTCCGTGGCGTCCTGGTGGCCCAGTGGTTAGCGCGTCGACCTCACAGTGCAAAGCGAGGTCATACCATAAGGTTCAAAGCGAGGTCACATCATAGTCAAAGTATGTCTGTTCATAATATGTCGTCAAGCTGATAATGCACATAGCTAAATAATGGCTTCACTAAATAATGGCTTCACAAGACAAGTCAAGTCAAGTACAACTTTATTGTCAAATGCGCTGTATGTGCAACATACAGCAGAGATGAAATTTCTTCCCTCTCAACCAGACAACAAGAGGAGCCGTTGCGGGTGCCTGCGCCACCATCAACAGAACAGTTAACATAAAATGACAAAATAATACAACACAACACATAGGACACAGACAGTCATGCAACCTTAACCACTTTTCCTGCATACACTTTGTTGTTTGAAGCAGTTATAGATGAAAGAGGGCAGTAGGTGGGGGGACACCCTGAACCGGTTGCCAGCCATTCGCAGGGCGCACATAAACGAACAACCATCCATGCTCACACTCACACCTAGGGACAATTTTAGAGCGTTCAATCAGCTTGCCATGCATGTTTTTGGAATGTGGGAGGAAACCGGAGTACCCGCAGAAAACCCACACAGGCCCGGGGAGAACATGCAAACTCCACACAGGGAGGCCGAAGCTGGAATTGAACCGTGCACCTCTGCACTGGGAGGTTGACACGCTAACCACTGGACCGCCGGGCCGCCTCCTATGTTGCATCAGAGCTTTATTTCTTCCTGGAAGCTTGATGCGCGATTGCCAAGTGGCGAAGAAGTCATCACGCAGAACAATGAAGCACTCACAGTTAGCGCCATAATTACTCTTTTTATGTGTTTGACAAAAGGCCTTGAAGTGTTGTGTACACTAATATTTTCTGCAGCTATGCTATGACTTTGCAACTGCTTTTTGGTCGGCTATAGACATACTTGACAAAAGGCTAACTTGCATTTAAATTTAGGTTACAGTGAACCCCCATATATTTGTGGTTGATTGAGCATTTGCAATTTCACCTATTCACATTTTTCTTGGGAACCTTTTCTCATTTATTTACGGGAAAAACATACCTATTCTCTGTTTTTGTGCTTTGGCCAAAGCCTTGTCTAATTTCAAAATATTGCTCTCGCATCTTTTTGTTGTTGTTGTTTTTTTTTTTTGCACCCAAGTCTTAGACATTTGAATTTGAGTGTCTGCCCATATACCGACTCCCAATCAGATTTGGCAATGCATTTAAAAAAAAACAAAAGCACATCCAAATTGTCTCAACTGTGCTCATCTCTTAGCATGAATAGAAGTCTCACAACATGATACCATTGTAATGTCCAATAAACAGTCCCATATTAAATGAACAAACTAAAATCTAAAAATATCAGAAATTCTTCTTAACTCTTTCAGACACCCTGTAACCTTTTTACATGATATATTGTCCACTGTAGTAACCGCTTTCCCTGAAAGGGTTAATGCAGTATCAACATAAGGATGGATTTTTTTTTTTTCACGCGACATCGCTTATCTGCAAATGACGTGATCTGCTCCAATTTCTCATCACGTGTGATTGGGTTGGGACGACACTAAACTTACCGTCAAGGAAGTATGTTGACGTAGGGGGAGGAGTTTGTCAAATAGAAAAAGTTCTTTCCGCATCTATAACAAGGTGCAAACCTTTTTGGGTGGGTGTTACTTTTAGCAGATTTTTGTGTACCCGTCCCTTGCGAATAGCGGATGTTCACTTTCCATCGCCACCAAAGCAGTGATCCTCTGCTGTAAAGCAAAACTTGCTCTGTACATACAATAAATTATTTTTGTTTTCAGCATGCTCCTGAGAATACTTGTCCAGCTGGGCCTCCTGTATGGTTTTTGGCCTCTGGTTACTGGAACGTGTCAGCAGCAGCATCCTCCGCCGCCGCTGCTGCTTGTATCGTTTGATGGCTTCGGAGCCGACTACCTGCAGAGGTTCCCGATGCCCAACCTGACGCGTCTGTACAGCCAAGGAGTCCTGGTGGAGCAACTCACCAACGTGTTTGTCACAAAGACCTTTCCCAACCATTACAGCCTGGTGAGCCAATCTTAATATGAATCACCATGTCAAAAATGAAAGCGTAGTGACGGTTTGAAAGTAATACAAGCATAGACTCAGCAAATGCAACAAACACTGGATTTGAGTGAATACATCAATAATTGGTACAAGTTTATAGAAGGCAAACCGAATGCATTGATCATGAACTAAAAGCCTATCCATGCAAATGGATGTATGGAGTTTGTTTTTAAAAATCTGAACATTCTGAACAGTTCACAGGTCCGTAGGAAGACTTTTTCACACACACGGGCTATACATAGTAACGAGCAGCTGCCTAACCTCAGGTTTTGGTTTTCAGTCTAAGAATTATTAAAAGGCCAGAAGCAGAAGCCTTCAAAAGCCTTACAAGGTAAAAAACAAAAAAGTTCAATTTATTAAGATGGCACAAAGCTAATAAGAAACTTAAAACCCAATACGAAGATTTGAAAATAGATCAGAGATGTACAGCCAGCCACAGGTGGAACCTGAGAGGGAACATATTGTGGAAGACAGACTTTTCGTTTGGTTGCAAACTGTTGGGTCCACAGAGTGCCTGCCTACCCGTCAAGTGTAACATTCTCATAAAAGCGTTATGGATTTTTTGGAGGCCGATCCCGATTTTTGGCAGCTGAAAAGATTACCGATTTATTCAAAAATGTACTTTGCATATATCTTTCAATGGCCGTCAATTATACATCTTATATTTCTTACATGTGGTTACAAATGTATTTTCTGGTTGTTTTTTTTTTTTTCAAGTTATATTTGAAGTTGAGTTTTGGTAGTTGAATAAATATTAAATTTTGAAATCAACGAATAAACATGATTGTCAATCGTGATTTTGTTGCCATTTTTACCGGTAGTACCATGACAAAAAGGGACCATTTTGGTCGCCATATGTGTAATGTTTACACCATATC